TGTTAGGTCCTAAGCGAAGGGAAACAGACCTGGATTCTAGCCAGTCCCAGATGAAGAGGAAACAGAGCGCGGTGCTTGGGATTTGCTGACTTTTGAACCTCCGACCGTGTGTCTACTCAGGAAGCCTAAGCCTCACTCTAGCCCTAGGTCCTCAGTCTTCCCTCTTTGCACAGGTTGGGAGGTGGGAGACTCACAGTGAAGGTTCTGGGGCTAGCGAGGGGCAGAACTGGCTTTGGTGCCCAGGCCCTGCTGATTTGGAAGACGTTAGAAGCCTATCCCCTTGAATTCAAAAGATGCTGAAAAACCTTGCCAGAGTTCCAAATGATGTTTGCCTTCATTTCTCACAGTGATGAAGAGGAGAGGGAGGCAGGCAACTGAAACTCTTCATTGTTCTTTCTGCAGTTCCCAAATAGGTCCTATAAACTGCTCAAAATGACAGTCACCAGTGAGCCTGGGTGTTCTGAGACTTGACCACATAAAGTCACTCGTCTCATCCTCATCACAGCCCCTTGCACTAGGTTCTCTTAGTTTCAGCCCCGTTTTGCAGATTCTGTGCAGAAGTTCCTGACCTGTCCAGAGCTCCCCAGCTGGTGAGTGGCAAAGGCAGGACTCAGCCAGGTGGTCTGTCTCGGAGCCACAGGCCTGCCTTGCCGGGCTGCTCGGCTCAGTCTCATACGTGTCTCTGGTAGGTTTAATCTTAGGCCAGCCAGGCTATTGCATGCAAATGTCATGTTTCAGTGGGTCTTTGAAAACTCCTAGTTGACTCAAAGTTTTCTCAAGGGTCTGAACCCTCAAATCTTCAGGGGAATGACCTATAAAGAAAATGCTTATCCTCCCTGGCAACCTTTTGGCTTTTACAACAATGCCCCCATCCAAACCAAAAATAAAGTCTCTCCAGACACACATTGCCAGAGGAATCTGCCCCAAAATGTTTCTCCACGTCCCTTTGATCAACTGAACGAATGCCCTTGTCATTCTAGAGAGGACTGTGAGGACCCGCGGGCTCATGTCACAGCTGCTTCAGTTCATCCAGCATCCAGCTGCCCCTCCTGGTGCCGACTGTCTCTTCTTTCCTTGCTGCTCTATATCCTCCAAAGCACCCTGGTGGCAATGGATTCTGGCCCAGTATCTCATGGAGATCTTGCTTATGGCCCAGGAGGCCGCTGGGTCTCTCAGGAAGCCCGCTTCGAGTTGGGTGGGGTAGCGGGAGCAGCGGCCATCTGCACTCCACGGCTTCCTGGCTGTGCCCTTGAACATTAGTCACCTAATGTTTCTGAGCTTCAGCTGCTTTATCTCCCTGGACTCATAGTGCCACTTTCCCCCTCTAGTCTCCTCATTCACTCTAAAGTGACCCCGTCTCTTGGGAGAAGAAAATGAGAATTTCTTAGGAGTCATCCTTGCAGACTGCACAGAGCAAATATTCGCCTAGCAGGGGTCACTGTGATGGCGTGTGCTTGTAGATGGCTGACAGCTGTATGAGGCTGCTTTGTCCTGAGGAAGCTCAGCAGTTGTAGTTGAGAATGGAGCCTAGTCCAAGGTGAAAGGGCGAGAGCCCATGCACCCGTGGGTGTAGGCCAGTGTCCTTCCCTCTGTCCCTCTTGCTGTGTGGCACGGAGTCACCGCATTGTGGGAGGGCTGGCAACATCCTCCCACAATCCTCCCACTGGGTGCCAATAGCAGCCACCCCCCCCTTTGTGACAGATGTCCCCACACATTGCCAGGTGTTCTCTGGAGCTCAGAATCATGGCCAGTAGGTCATGGCCCACTGACCTACACTTCTCCTACTCAGGATCTCCTGAAGCTGGTGTGATTTGCTACTGGATCGTTCCCAGGAGACCTGAAGGCCCTCTCGTAGTGTGGGAAGGGGCCAGAGGCCAGGCTCATTACTGTACCGCAGGACGCTGCTGTCAGCCGACGTGGCTGCCTGCGTCACTCATCACCTGTCCATTCCCCAGATGATGTTATAACACCTGCTTTGTCCCTTGGCTGTGGTAGATCCCATAGTGGAAGAAAAAACACCCAAGTTAGCCCCAGGCAGCTTCCAGAGGAGTCCTTCTGTGAGCTGTGGGCTCTGGGCAGCGGGCACACCCTTTGTGAGTGTCACAGCGGGGGGTAAAGCACACACCGCTCAGCCTGTCCGTCTCTGTCATCTCTACAGCCCCACCCCTGATTCATGCAGCTTTTTTTCATATTGAGCAAACATGTGCTTAAGGCAATGTTCTGAGTGCACAGGAGTTCTCAAAGATTCTCTCTTATAACTGCAACCTGGTTAAGTCCATGATCACGTGACTTTAAGAACAACTGTAGCATTTAACCCTTCTTGGAATTTACCAACATTTTCCTTACCTCATCCCTGGCTATCAACCCCCCAAAAATCATCTCTCACTGACCTTTACTACTGCTTGATCAGGAATGTTCTCTCTTCCATCTGCTTGGGTGGTGTTCTGAGATTCTGTGGCATCCTGAAATATTAAGAAGAATGTTCACAAAACAAACTCAAAATATTTCCTGCCTTAGAAGCAGTATTCTTTTGCTTTTAAGTGCTGAGTTGTGCCTAAGAATTCAATGCTGTGTGTCTGTGCATGTGTGTGTGGGGGAAGTGGCCAATGTTTGTATGGTGTGTGAGGGAGGGGTGCTAATCACCAAGAGCCATCGCCATGGAAAACCCTCTGGTCCCAGAATATATCTGCAGGAGTTGGTCTTTTAACAGAAAAGAAGAATCTATTGTGGCCGAGTCCCAAGAACAGTCATCCTCTGCCTTTGGCGTGTGCTTCATTATCTTTGCTCAATGAGTATCTTTGCATATGATGAACTCCTAGGCAGGTTTTTGGGAAACAGCAGGGAACAAGGCCGGCAGGCCCTCTCCTTCAAGGCGAACAAAAATGGAAGCAAATAAAATGATGTTTGGTACTGATGCATGCGATGAAGACAGTGAAGTAGGGGGCTGTGAGAGAAGGTTCCGGGACGTCACGTCCAGGGAGACCTAGTAAACAAGGAGCCAACCGGATTGACCCAAGGAGGGTCAGAGCAATTCTGCAGATTTCCTGTCAGAAGCCTGAGATAGTCTCAAGCTGCTTATAAAAACCTTCCCCTTGAGCCATGCAACAGGAATTGGTGACCTCACCATTGTGTTTTCGCTTCTGGCCTAAGTTCTGACTCCTGCCAAGTCCCCAGTCACCCTCTTTGTCACAAATGAACACTCTGCTCTTCCCCGCCTCATTGATAAGCCATCTCTCTTCCTCAAAATTATTTCATTTTCTTTTTCTCGGTACTCAGGGATCACCGGCAATAATCACCAACAAAGTCAACAGGTTTCATTTTTAAAGCTGTAAATTTGAATCATGTAGAAGTTTTGATAGTCATGGAAGTTTTCTTCTCCTTGGAAGCAAAGATGGAATGCCTCTCCTTGCCAGCAGCTGGCCTGCAGCCATCCCTGACCTCTCTTGTAATTCTGTATGGAAGAAAGTGCAGAAACCAGGGTGGAACGCTTGCTTTCCCTTTCTAGTACTTGACACTCTGGCTTAACCCTCCTGCTCTAGAAAAGGGAGCTAAAATTTTATTGACAGCTCTGTCCTTATTGTATATTTCTGCAGAATACTGGGATGTGCTCAAAATGTGCAAATTAAGTGATTTTTTTGTAAGTCATCTCCTTGATTTTGGTGAGTTGAGACGTCTCTGTTGCCAGCACTCAGCCCTGGCATTCCTTGGGATGCTGCTTGTCCTGATACTTGGGTCACTGGGTCACTGACACCCCCCAAACCCATGGAAACCCTCCAGGGCAAAAAGTGACAAATGTCTACCTGTCAGGTGTCGCTGCTCACCATTGTTTTTCATCTGTCCCCCTTCCCTGCTCTGCGTCCGCCCCCCACTGACAGCACATTACTATGATGTCAGCCTCATAGTAACAACATTCATGCAAGAAAGACTGCAGATACCCAGCAGTACAGGCTCCAGAAGGGCCCAAACGGCCCCCATCTGGGGACCATGGTAGAGGAGGAGGATGTGGCCTGAGCAGGGGACAGCACAGGGCACGGACAGAAGGGCCAGAGAAGCGGGGGACCCAGAGGCCTCTAACTCAAATTCATGGAGCTTGGACGCTGGGAAGCTCAGGCAACCAGGGGACACAGTGGTCCATTGTCCATTCACTCACTGAAGAAACATTGACTTAGGTTCCTCCCAATCAAGGGAGAACCAATCCTGGAGACAACACACTCCCAGATAGGATACAGGCAGCCAGAGGCGCGTGGATGGCCACGTGCCTAGTCAGCCTGCAGGTGTGTTTTCTTTATTGCAACTTGGAGGGTGCTTTTCAATGTAGTCAACAGTACTGGAGACTGGGTTAGTGTTCCTTAGGCCTGGGTGCTGGGCTGCAGGGGCCCGCCTGACCTGTGTCTCTGCACTGCACCCCCAGGAACGCGGGGAAGATAAGGCCTGGGGCAGCCTGGATCCCAGAGGTGTCTGCTGACTAGTGACCTCAGTGATTGCTACTTGGAGCCCTGGGATTTTCCCTGGATGGAGTCACAGGATCAACTCTGCATCTGGGAGGCAGGGGGAGGAGCGAGTCTGGACGGAAGGCAAGCTCTGGGCTGATGCAGTCAGCCAGGGAAGAGCTGAACCGAGGCACTTCAGTTCCACCAGTTGCAAACAGACTGTGGAGCTACTGAGCAGCGGAAGTATGTGCCGAATGCGGCACAAGTGGAGTCCAGAGGGTGGCCTCTGCATCTGGGTGACCTCTCGCTGGTCCTGGGGGTGTCACGGGGCCCGCTCTTGCAGGTGGGAAGGACTGTGCAAGTCCGTGACTTGCCTCGAGGTCTGTGCAGCTCATTTGCATGTGTGTGTTTTTTCTGGGTTGAGGACCTAAATCGGGGGCTGTGGTTATAAACAACAGGATCCGAATGTGGAGGCTTTGGGTAATGGGTCACAGGGCCAGGAGGACTTCAGAACAGATTCAGGCCGCACTGCCAAGAATAAATCTAGAGTTGGCCTGGGGGAGGGGTGGCATGTCTGCAGCTGCCCGAGAGGCTGCTGCTGCTCGGGGGGCCTACCTGCACCCCAGGCCTGCTGCCCTGGATGGGATACAAGACAGGGTGCGCTGGCTCCTCACTGGAGCCGCGGTGGAGACCTGTGAGCCCCAGGTCACACGTCTGCGTTATAGCGGCCGGCACAAGGCAGCTTCTGGAGAGCTGGGCCGTGTTTCCCACCGAGACCCCAGAGTTAGCGAGTGAGGATTCCCCCGAACTTAGGCAAGTACAGGAAACAAGAGTGATCCTCTCCAGCCTCCCAAGCCCCAGTGCCTGCTTCCCCGAGGGGAGCATGGGATGGAAGCATGGTACCACACCCGTGCACACACACGCGCGCGACTTTGCTGGTCCCTTATTTTTATTATATCCAAGAGTTGCATTTGTTTATTTGTTATTAAATGAAAATATATCTAACTGCACTTTCTTTCTTAAATGTCTTTGTGATGCTCAGTGTAGAGCCCAGGATGCTCTCTGTGCCTGCCCATGTCCACCGTGCCAGGCGACAGCCACTGTCTTCACACCACTCTGCCATTACCCCGACTGCACTACCTGACTGATTCTCCTGCGCCCTGCCCACCTTCCCTCTCTTCTGGTCCACTCTTCTGGCCTGAGTGTCACTGCTTCCTGACATCCTCAGGGGTTCCGAATGGTGGGGTCAGCTTCTTCTTCCCTGGGGAAGCAGGACAGGGGCAGGGGTGTCTGTTTCTCATTCAGGTCCATGTCCTGAATGCTCAGCATGGAGCCCACTAGTCTCCATGCTGAGAGCTCACCTGAGGCCACTGCAAGACATCCTGTCACTCAGGGCCACCCGACATGCTCACCAGAGTAGTGCGTTACACCCCTCAGCTGCAGAAATCCTGTAATCTGTGGCTCCTGTTACAAAAGAAAGATTCTACTGATGTTACAGGGCAGCCCAGAGTGGACCGGGCCACTGTCTGTGGGGCCTCACCTGCGCGCTTAAAATTCAGTTATACTGCAGGTGCACACAAAAGGGTCAGTAACGGGGTTACTCACAGAAAGGGAAAAGAAAAGCAAACAACAACTGAAATATCTTACCGGCTCGGCTGACTTGGAGCTCTGGTAACAAACTAATGGAAGCCCTGAGTCACACGGCCTCGAGAGCCCTGTTTATCCCCCACATTCCCAGAATGCCGCTTAGCTCCGCCCCTGGGTCCTCGCGGTTCTCTCCCGGGTGCTGCTGGGAGTTGTAGTTTCCAGTCACTGGCGTAGGGGGCGGGGTCCAGAAAGCTGGAGTAGGGGTGGAGTCCACAGGACTGCAGAGTTCCTTCAGGGCGCTCTTCCCCTGAACACTGACACTTATTAAAAAATGCAAAGAAGGGCTCTTCCTGGTCGTGCCACGGTTAAGTGCCACGGTTAAAGTACAGCACTGTAAGCCAGCCATAGCCACCTCGCCTCAGAGTTCCATCCCAGCCCTGGAGCTGACCCACAGATGCGGCAGACCTCTCCTGACCCGCCCGCTGCTCCCCTCAGCAGTGTGCTTCGTCGATCTGCCTGTTCTGCTCCCCGCTCTGTCTCTGGTGAAGCCTCTCACCGCCCCTATGCCTCTGGCCTGTACCCTAGTTATGAATGAATAAATAAATAAAATCTTTAAAAAAATACAAGGAAGATTTTATTTAAGACTGTGACAATGGGGAGAGAGATGAATGCAACTAAGAAACTGAACTCAACTCCCAGTAGTTAGTAGGCAGGGTGAGGGACAGGATGGAAAGTTGATTAGATAGCAAAGCATGAAGATGAGGAGCTTGACTGGATTTCAAAAGCGCAAGCATTCTTGATACCCTGCTTTGTAGGATTCTTTGCTAAAACCGTCAGGCCAAGAAGGAGAGAGACTTGAAAGAAGCCGAGGGAAGTTTGATCAAGGAGGGAATCCTCGTCACCATCAACCTTATGATGACGATGTCTGTTAGTAGCTAAAGTCACATTCTAATAAATATAAGCGAGACCCTGGAGAATGGGAGTTCCCACATGAAAACCTCCATGCAGGCAAGAGCTGCCAGAGAACATCAGTTTGGTCTACCTCCAAGATGAACTTGCATTGTTCGCTGTTTTAAAACAGGAATGAAGTGTCTGCTCCACCCTTCCTCCCAGTAGTCTCCGAGATTGATCACGGCTCAAGAAAGAGCTGTCAAGGGTTTTAGTCCCTGAGCAGCGGATGCTGGTGCTTTCCTGTGAGATCCATCTCGCATGTTCCTAACCACAGAGCTAACCATCCTGCCATAGTGCCATGACCGCAGACTGCCATAAGTGACCTCGCTGTCCACGGGGCACTCTCTGAGCTAATTTTGCCTTCCTGGGTGTGGATGCGATCAGCGTGACCTTGTATTCCTTTGCCCAAGCCCTCTCCAGGTTTCACCTGTTGTCCTGGATAATTCTTAACAGCACCTCTTGTCATGCATGTGTCCAGTTTGGTCATTCTAGTCTATGACCCTTCAAGTCAGCCCTCCCTTTCAGCCCACTGACCCCGGGCCTAGCAGTGACTCACACACACCATCAAGTGCGTGAAATCACTACACCCTGCTTGCTTGGTGGCAACGTGCTTACTGCCCAACACGCGCTAAGGTCAATAACATGACACTGGGTGGTGAGAAGAATAAGGTTACTGCAGGCTGATGAGCAGGCAGGCGAGAAAATTCAGATTTGCCTCTTTATCTCCCTGGGGGAAGGGATTTGCATTCATTTGGGGTGACCACTAGAGAAATCTGTACTTGGCTGGAGCTCACTGGCCAGTATGGAGAAATAGGAAGAAACTTTGAAGATTACTAAGTTGTCGATTTTCGGAGGTAGCCCCCCACCTCTGCAGCTACAGAGTTGGGGCTCAACTCAGGGTCATCTGTGTGTGCGTGATCAGCTGGGTCATTTGCAGATAAGCTTGCAGGCTCTGAAGTTTTTGAAGGCAAGTCTCAGAAAAGTTTGGGAAAGGTGTGTGTGTGTGTGCCTGTGTGCGTGCGCACCCAGGAGTCTGAGAACAATTTAAACCTTTCAGCTTGGACTCCACAGTGGATAAAACAGGCAGTGTGAAAACGACAGAGCGGCCAGGGGCTCAGGCTGGTGGTGCGTGCAGGAGGCTGTTGTCAGGGCCTGTGGACTTGTGGTGAGCTGTCCCCAGGGCTGACCTGCCGTACGCACTTACCTGGAAACCGCCCTGGAAGGTAGAGCTCCCAGAACCCCGTCCGTATTTGGATTCCAGGGTGCCTGTACAAAGTGCTGTTCAGACCAGACTTAGCTCCGTGTTTTGCAAAGGGGGAGGCTGTTGCTTGTGAAAAACAGTCCCCTTCTCATCTTAGATCGAAGGAGTCATCTGTGTGGGGCCTGATGCTGGGGACTTGTACGGAAATCGCAATTGTGAACACTTCCTGGAGAGTCTGATGGATTGAGAAGTGGGCGTTTAGAGCAAATGCATGTTCTCATAACACTTCTCTCTGAACGGGACTCATGGGCTGCCCTGGGACCCGAGGGACAGGATGTATGATTGCTTGTTGCCCAAAGAGATTTCCAGATCAGTGGACGGGACAGACCCTTGTGAAGCGATGTCCCTGGGACAGGGTTCGGTACAGGGGGAGTGGAGGGTCCTTGGGAACTGACCCAGCCTTGGGATTAGGAGAGGCCACCCCAGGGTGCCTGAGGAGTGAAGAAAGCTGAGGTCTAGCTGCCTGGCAGAGGGACCAGCCTGGGCATAGGGCGCCCACCATGGAGTGTGGGTTTGCTGAAGCTGCCAGTAGACGAGAGGAGTAGGAAGGGTGAAGGGGGTCCCGAGATGCTGGGTGTGGGCACCCAGGGAGCTCTGGGGTATCCGAGGGAGGGAGGGCACGGGGATCAGAGAGGACCTGTTGGGGATCCTGGCCTTGAAGTTCCGCGAGCCGACAGGCTCCAACATGCAGTCACTGGTGGGTGCACATTTAGCAACAGGGAACCTACTTAACGTCTCATCACTTTTTTGTGTCAATAAATCAATACATTTTTATCCATACACTTGCAGGAACTTTTTTTTTAACACCTGGGAGAGGATAAGTGGCAATGTCAGCTCTAGCAGACGACACTCATCATGTGTGGATTTCTTCTTATACATTTTTCTGGGGCTTGCCAGCTTCAAAAGGAAGGTTTCTGCTCCTTCCCGGCGGCGGTGGGCGTGTGAGCCCTGGAGATGAGGACGGCCACGTCCATCCCGGGAGGTGCTGGGCAGGGCTGTAGTAGGCGGCAGGCCCAGTGAGGGCCAGGTCTCTGGGTGGAGAGCTGTCCCCGTCAGCCTGTGACGCTCACTCGTGTCTCTGTCTCCCGCAGATCCTGCCCGGCCTGTACATCGGCAACTTCAAAGGTGAGGTTCTCCTTTTGTTGTTGTTATTGTGGTGAAACAGATGTAACCGAAAACAGGCTCATTTAACCATTTTGAAGTTTTCAGTGGCATTATGTACCCTTGCACTGCTGTGCAGCCATCACCACCGTCCTCTCCAGAACTTTTTCATCTCCTCCAACTGAAACTCTGTGCCCCTTTCAACACTAAATCCTTGTTGTCCTCTGCTCCAGCCCCTTGCCTCCCTGCCATCTCTCACATGGAATCTGATTTCTCCAGTTTCCTCATGTACACGGAACCAACAGAATTTCTCTGGCTTCTTTCACCGGGCGTCATGTCCTCACGGTTGGGCCAGGCTGTAGCTAGCCTTGGGAAGGCCGCCGTCTATTCCACTGGGTGGACACACCGTTTTGTTGCTCTGTTGATCTGCTGATGATACTTGGGCTTCTGCCACCAAAGCTGTAAAAGGCCTTTTTCAAAGGCCAGCTTTAGGCTTCTCCTGCATGGCTGAGTCAACGTGCACTCTCAGCTTCTCCTGAGTGTGGTCTGGAAGTGGCCACCGTGTGTGGCCAAATGCCTGTTGGCCCCTCCTTCGTGGGCCCCAACCCGTGGGCCGATGGCCGACAGGGGCTTGGGACGAACTTGACCTCTGCCGTAGATGTCACCATAACATTGTACCCTTGCTGGAACACTATGCCGCAAAAAAGAGAGCCCAAAGGCACATTTAGCAGTGGGTAGCTTACTCATCATCTCATCACTTGTTTTGTTGTGTCAGTAAATCAACACATTTTTATCCATAAACATTGAGGAGAGAGTAAGTGGCAATGTCAGCTCTAGCAGATGACACTCACCATGTATGGATTTCTTCTTATACATTTTTCTGGGGCTTGTTCAGCGTTGACTGATGTGCTCTCAGCTATCGTCTATTTCCCCTCATCTGTCCCCAAAGGGCCCACAGTCACAGAGGTGAGAAGAACCGCTTGGACTTTCTTCACCAAGCCCCCATCAGGCTTTGTTTGCTTCCCAAGGAGGGATCCTGGCCCTGTATCCAGTGACACTGGAGTTTGTGTGCATTAAACAACAACAACAACAAAAAACAAATAAACAAACAAACAAAAAACAATGGCTCCCTTGCACTGGAGACAGGATCCATTTAACAGGAAGGGCCGGGCCTAGGAAACCTGCAGAAACAGGTCTGCCCACACTGGGCTGGACAGCCTGAATAGGCACCCCGGCTCCTCCCCACCCCGGACAAGTCAGAACTCACTCCCATATGCTTCCCGTTGTCGTTCCATTGGCAAGTTCAGCCACATGTTGATTATAAAGCCAGCAATCCATGTTTTATGATTCGTCTGCATAAGGCTGATTTCTTCTTTTCTGCCTCTGGTACTGCTAATGGGCCTCAGAGCAAATTGAGCCCAGGGAGCTGACAGCTGCTAATTGCTACTAGAACATGTTAAAAATAGGGCTGGAGTTCCTAAATTAGTAAGCTTTGTAGTTCTGAAAAAGCAGCTAGTGCTTTGTGGTAGGTTGTCAAGGGGCACTGGATATGTTAGGGAGCCAAATATCTTCAAGGGTTATTTACTGCGCTATTACTGACTTTTCATGGGGAAGGGCAGGACTGAGTTTAGGGTAAATTCTTAGAAGAAAAAAAAGCCTACGGAAAGGTATGCAAATTGAAAGTGGCGCTCAAGTCCCAAAACTCAATACTTCTGCAAGGAGTTTCTGAGAACTTTTTCCTCCTCGTGGAAGGTTCCTTTCCTTTGAAGGAAGTAAAGCCCACCTAATTTTAAAGAAATATCTCAAATTTGTTTTATACTAAAATTAATGCCTGTTTTCTAAATTTTCGAACTCTCGAATCATAGACCCCCTCGGTTCTGGACACGGGCTCTGTGGTTTCACCCACTGACGATCTTACAGCCCCACACGTCCTCTTTGTTCAGATGCTTGATGTGTGCTCTTGTCTTCAGCTACTCTGACATCAGAACGTGGTCAGATTCTATTCAATCATTCACTCACCAAACGTGTATTAAACAATCACCGAGGTCAGGCTCATGTGAAATGCGGCAGCGGTGGTGTGTCGAGGCCACGGGCGGCGGAAGAGAGGGTCCCTCCAGTTCGTTCCACAGACAGGTCCCCAGCCCACGTGTGTCACTGAACTGGGGTCCTGGGTGCATGCACTTCCCAGTCGTCGAGGTTCAGCTTCAGGGGAGCAGGTAGAAGCCAGGGAGCACACAGCACAGCGCAGAGAAGCCACGAGGCTGTCCTCTCCGAGTCTGCTTACCCACAGCCCACGACCCTGGTCACGAACAAGACCCCGTGGCTGCCCAGGGCGAAAGCAGGATGGTTTCTTGAACTGGGAGCCCAGCTGTCATCTACACATCAGCATGACATCTTAGTTAGTCACTCTCTTCCTGTTTAACTTACAGATGATCTGTCACGCCTGTAAAGGAACAACCCATGTAGAAAAGCATCAAGAGAAAGAGTGGGGAGATCTTTAGACTTCCTGAAGGACGTTATTTTTCCCAGTGTGTGTTGGATGGCACTCAGGCCTGGGCTGTGGTGACCACGGCCTCCTCCACGCCATCATGAATGGTCTCGTGTGCCATCTCTCTCTTCTCTCCCCTTTGTTCCCTCCTCCTTCCCTTCCTTTGCGTGTGACGTGACTCTCTGTAGCTTCCTTTGTTTTCCTCTTCAACTCTGCATTGATAACAAACAGCTTGCCATCCCTTGATGATTTTGCACAGAGAGAAGCCTACAAACAGACCTGGCTCCTGGAGCCCGGTATCTGCTGGGTGACTCTCAGCAGAGCTGCCATGGTGGCAGCTCACTGCCCAGAGCTGAGAGCAGGGCAGCAGCCAGCACACTCACGGGGCTCCTTCCTGGCCTGGGGGAGGGGTCAGGCAGCAGGCAGGGTGGGGAGCGAGGGGGGCTCTTCGTGCTTCCTGCCACCGTGGCACTTGCAGAGCAGATGTCAGCTGACAGAGGAAGCCCTCATTGTTTGAAGAGGGCCACAGAGATCTAGAAAAGTGGGAAGCGAGCTCAGGCCCACGGTATGCCAGCAATGTTGAGAAGCACCTTCCTGCTCTTTCAGTTTTGCTCTGTGCCTGCTGATGGGTCTGGCACCTGAGGCGGCTTCCCAGGGGTTCACACCAGGCCGACTTAGAGTCAACAGAAACGAACTTGCTGCCTCCTAGAGTTATATACTATTTTACATGATAATGGCATCTGGAGACATAAATGAGGGGCTCAGGGGTTCAGTCTTTCAGTGGGTCCATTTCCTAATTGGATTGGGACCAAAACGGGGCACTTCCCACCTGTTCTCTTGACATTTATGGTGCCGACTTAGGGAGGTTTTCCTGAGCCTCACTTTTCAGCCCTGTATGACTGGACAAAGGTAGTAAGAGTCTCTCCTGTGGTTTGTTGGAAGGACTCAATGAGAGAAGTGTTGTGTTGCCATCACTGTTACCATGAGGACTGCACGCCCGGCCGCCTGGCAGGGCCTGCGTCACCCTCACCCCTGAACGGGACCCAAGCCTTGTTTCCCAGCTCTCGACCCACCACCACGCAGCCGGGCGGGTTCTCTGGCCACGTTCACAGTCGGAGAAGGCCAGCCACAGAACAGACTGGGATCTTTTGCTTGCCACTCAGCACATTCCCAGCTGTGCAAAGCTGGAGAATGACTCAGAACACGGCCTGGGGTTCCGGGGCAGAGCAGCGCGCGCTGGGTCTCTTCTTTCTCCCTCCCCTCCCTGTGTCACCCTGCTGGCTATGCTCCTGCCAGCGTTTTCTGGTTAGTTTTATTCACAGGCAACCCAGCTCGACTTTGGAATACCTGGTTTTCTGTTTACCTTCTGTGTCAGTATAAGTTCTAGACCACTAGTTCCCCTTCTTAAGAAAACACGTGGTTACCACTTTGCCTTGGAGTCCAGCGTCTTCTAGAAACCTACCTGAGGTTTCAGTGATGGCGGGGGACCTTCTTCTGACCTGATGTCCAGTAGGAGAAGAACAGGGTGGAGTGGATGTTTCCACGGAGCGATGGCTGGCTCCTGTAGAAGCAGAGGAAGGGAGCAAAAGGAGGCATGAGTGGGCAGGAGTCAGGGCCCACGGAGAGAGGCTGGCAGAGAGAGAAAAAGAACATCGTTAGTTGTTTCTACCAAGGAAGGACTGTTTGTTTTTTTTTCTTATTGATTTTGTTTTTTTTTTGTTTGGCTGTTTTTTTTTTTTTTTTAAATTTTTGTGTTTCTTGGTTATGGAAGAAATGTGGGCTCATCAGTAAAAATAAAATAATTTAAAAAATATGGATGCTATAAAATTAGTGTAACAGAGTGAAAACTTCATAAAAATCTCACATCCCAAGATAACCGCGGTCAAAATGTGTCCCTCGACGTGGATTCCCACATGAATTCAAACCTGTAGCAGTTGCCTGAATAGGTGTCTTTGTTGCTGCAAGTAGCTGTGAGTTGTTTTTTGCCTTAGAAATGACATTGACATGCCTCAGTGGGGGCGAGCCGTCCCTGGCACCAGGGCAAAGGCATTCAAAGGTCATACACAGAGCGCATGACTTCTCAGGCTCATATTCCAAGTCTGGTAAGTATGGGTGGACCTGGGTGTCTGCATTTTTGGCATACCCCATGGTGCTGCACTGCTGCTGGGCACACCCCACTTGAGCCATGCGGGGCTAGTGATGTAGTGCCCAGGGAGAGCTGGCATGAGCCTTCCTGGTCTGGGCACACACACGAACAAGCTGGGCCCCCGAGGACAGCGTCACGGGGCTGCAGCCGCAGCTCGTCAGCCGCTCTGGCGCTCGTTGGCTGCCATCCAGAACCACCATGACTTGAAGTCATGAAGTCATACCCCAAAGCCTCCACCCAGTGCCACTGCTGGAGGGTTTGGTGCACGTAACAGTGACAGCCGGAAGGTGAGAATCCAAGCTGTTCTGAGTCTACCTTGGAGGTTCCCTCTGCTGCAGCTCACAAAGCTCTGGTTTCGTCTTACTTAACTCGTTGTCTAAAACGTGCATGCTGTTGGCAACTGCAAAACATCTTGGTGAGACTCTGGAGGCCGGCAGCCCTGGCGGTCCTCGGTGACCCCAGTCCATGCTTAATTCAGAGCTCACCGACAAGGCGTCCCATACAACTTGGGGGTGGGTAGGAGCGGACTTGAACCCCAGATGTGTGACGTGGTGTGTTACAGGACACACGGTGTCTGGGCCGCCTGTCTGTGGGGCCTCCCGCGCACGCCGAAAAATCAGTTCTACCGCAGGTGCACACAAAAGGGTCAAAATGGGTTTATTCACAAAAAGGGGAAAAGAAAAGGAAACAACAACTGGAACATCTTGCCGGCTCGGCTGACTTGAAGCTCTAGTCACAAACTAACCGAAGCCCCAAGTTAGGCGGTCCCCGGAGCCGATTCCCGAGCGCGAGACCAAATGGCGCCCTGTGTATCCCCACATTCCCAGAATGCCGCTTAGCTCCGCCCTTGGGTCCCGCAGTTCTCTCCCGGGTGCTGCTGGGAGTTGTAGTTTCCAGTCACTGGCGTAGGGGGCGGGGTCCACAAGACTCTGCAGTTCCTTTAGGACATCCTTCCCCGTAACAAGTGCAGTTTACGTCTGAACTTGAAGCTGGAGATGACTGCAGTGACGAAGAGAGTCTGACAATACAACCAACCTTTCAATACTCCATTTAAAGATTTCTCCCTACTTGAAAAGAAGTGTCAGCTTCCTGTAGAAAGTTTAGAAAAGTGCTTCTTAGTCCCCATCCCATCATGAAAGTTTATTAGAAATGCAGATTCCTCGGCCCTGCCATAGATCTTGAACCAAGTGGAAGGAATGTATCTTTTTAGCAAGCCCACTAGGTAATTCACAGACATGCCAGTCTTCTAGAACTATTCCTATTGAATTCACACAAAAATTTATACTGAAAAAAAAAATGTAAACATTTGTCATTCCGTCCCTGAAAGGTTACCACTGTTGGGGCCAATTCCTTAGAGCATTTCCACTTCCTTCCCCCACACCTATGTATGGATGTGTGTCTATTTACAAATTGAATCGCTGTTGAGTTTATAGTTTGGCATCTGGTTTTGCCCTCAGCTTAACATTATATCCTGAGCATCACCCCATAGAAACACAATAATTAAACATTTGACTCTCAGTCCATTTTTCCCGTGTCATTTAAAACTCATGCCAGTCCAGGCCAGGGCATCTGGGAGGCTGACCTTCTGATTGCTTGCTGGTCCCTGTTTTGCAGACGAGCAGAAGGGAATGTGTTTTAGCATCTATTTAGCTTCATGCGCAGATCATTTAATAACCAACTGATAGCTTATGGATAGTTCTTTTTGGAATTTCCAGAAAATGTTCTATTTTTACCTTCACCCTAAACTGAACGTAGGTGTTTTAAACCACAATCTGCGTCTGGACCCATCTGTCACCGCTTTTGACATCAGGGGAAAGAAGTCTCTGGCAGGTTCCTCTATTTTCTGTAGAGGGGTTCTTTGTGCTTGATTTTAACTGAGATTATAACAGGTTGGTCCCTAGGGAAAGGGGAGGCTCCAGGTTCCCTGACCTACCCAAGGAAAGCTGGAGATGAACAGGGAGGAGTAAAAGGTGGAGAGGAGACTAGGAGAAGGAAGGAAGGAGAATGGGGACCAGAAGAAGACCTGGAGGAGGCACATGGAGCAGAGAGAGATGTGAAGAAGCTGCATTTGCTTCTTGGTTTTGGAAAGGTTGTAACCGGTGTGGGTGAGAGACCTGTGCCGTAACAATGGCAGCTTTTTTTTTTTTTTTTACAAAAGTTTATTTTTACATCATTTTGTACATTTTTTTTCCCATCTCAATTGTAATCCCTGGGTTTCCCATCACCAAGTCACCCGTGTGCCATCACCATAATCCCATGCATCCCCCCCCCCCTTTTTTTATCCCATTCCCCACTCCGCCAATGGCAGCTTTTATCTTGATTTTGACTTTGCTCCTTAGGTCCCAGATGCGCTGGGCCCCTTTTTCTCCTTTCTTATGGACCCCCACTGGGAGCTGCCTTAGACTTGGGGCACGCTTTTGGGTGTCAGTAGCCCTTCTTTGGGTCAATCCTCTTTGGCCCGGCCTTTACCCACCAGGGGATGTATAACTCTGGTGCTTGATTTGGAAACTTTTTCTTCCCCTTTTCTTTACTGAACACTAAATGTATTAAAGTCGCTTTGCATTAAAGGTCTTACACACTCAAGTGTTTTGTCTAGATGGGATGGATGGCAGAACCTATTTAGAATGGATAGATTTGGGATTCTGGGGTGCCTACATCCTGCCTTGTAACAAGACTACTAATCACTAAGGAGTAAAATTTTTGTTTTTTTTCTTTTTTTTTAAATAATATGTTTATTTTTACATCATTTTGTGCCTTTTTCCATCTCAATTGTCATCCCCGTGGGCTTCCCATCACCAGATCACCCGTGTGCCATCACCATAGTCCTGTGCACTTCCCTCCCCGCATTGTTTTTGATCCCATTCCCCACTCCACCCCCATAAAATGTCTCTGGTATATAGTTGTTCATTATTATTATTATTTTCTCCCCTGGTAATGGATAAAATTTTAAAGTGCGTTAAGCACTTTTATTGTTATATACACCATGTAAGAACCAATCTAAGTGTCTACAACTTAACAAATGTCAGTTGCAAAATGATCTCGATGGGTCACTTTGCTCACGGCCCTGAAACAGTGGTCATCACTACAGAGTTTATTCATGTCAAAGCCTTCCATGTTTCGGCAACCACTTTGTAGCAAAAGATGCACAAATAGAAATAAACTTAGTTATCTGCAAAATATTAAAAAGCAATTGTCCTAAATTCCCTAGATCTAGATTTTTCTGGGTATGTCATTTACGAAGTTTCCAGAAATACGTGTCTAATGAAGGGAGGTATGGGGGAGCAGACCTGGGTTCCCAGGACCCCAGGCAGGCTTTTCCTCGCTTCTTGTGTTCGCCGAGCAAAGCTCAACATCAGGACCTGAAGTTACAGAAACGCAAGAAATGTGTTGATAGGCAGGTAGGCTCTCTGAGTGGAGTGGGGCCGCGAGTGGCTGGCCACTGAGGTGGTGAGAAGCAGGTGCTTACATGGGCACAGTGGGCCAGAGGTGGGGGGTTGGCTGTTGGGTGTCTCTGCGCGGTGTCTCTTGCCGACTGGCTGGGCCTGCAGTGCCTCTTCGGCACTTCACTGAACTTAGCTTCCATGCGTCGCTGTTGTGCTATTATGGATGCTCCTCCCAGCCTACTTTCCTGAAATCAGCTCTGATCATTGCTACTGTGCTCTGGACATTCCATTTTTAATTGAATGGTTGGGCAGGGGCCTCCCGGTGTGCAGTCCCCAGTGACTGCCTGTGGCCGTTTCCCAGTTTCCTCCCTTACTAGTGCATTTTCCTGGCTACGCTTCAGTAGTTCACTTGCAGAGCCTATTAACAGCCCCATCCTCTTCCTCCTCTGACAGATGCCAGAGACGCAGAGCAGCTGAGCAAGAACAAGGTGACGCACATCCTGTCTATCCATGACAGCGCCAGGCCGCTGTTGGAGGTAAGACATGCAGTGTGCACGTGTGACTTTGCATGTCTCACATGTGACTTCACGTGTTCTGCAGGCACGAGACCTCACCGCTCTCATGATCCAGGCCTGTTAGTTGCTCGTGGGCTCAGGCCTTCTTCCTGCCAGCAGCTTGTTCGGCGGGGTGGGGGAGCCTAAGGGCTCCCCTCGGGAGTCCCTTCGGGAGAAAGAGGCACCCTTGGGCACCCCCAGCCCTCCCGACAAGCTGACGGCAGGAAGATGGCCTGAGCCCACGAGCACCTAACAGCCTGGATCGCAAGAGCCCTGGCTAAATGCCAGAGAATAAGATGCTGCGTTTGCTTCTGGATTTTCAGGACATTTTAAACCCACTTTCATGCCTTTCAAAATTATCTCCGGTATTAGAATTCCAGAGATTTCAGGCTGCTTATTTCCTGGTTTCTTTTTTTTTTTTTTCCATTTAAGCTCTATTAGCTACCATTTGCATGTAGACTTAAAAGACAATGGAAGACAAATTGTCACTGGAGGTTTTCCAGGGCTTCTTTGGTGGAGACTCAGAGCTGAAGCTGTTGTTATGTTTTAGGTTTTCGGGTAAATAGGGTGTGTCCTGCCTGTACAGTAATTCCACAAACATTTTCAATTTGACCCTGATGGACGGTTTGAACTGTTGGTTGGGAGTAAAATCTTTCTGTTTATTAGCCCTGACAAAGCCCACGTTACCTGTTTTTAGAAAAATAATGCCTGTGTGGTTGTGATGTGTCTGTGTTTTTCTATTTTGGGTGGGGTGTTGGAGAGGAGGGGCAATTGGTTCTGAAAGAAGAAGATCCCAGGTCAAGCTATTTTCATTTAAATTCGTATTATGCAAGAGCAGGTGATACAGTTTTTATCTGAAGCCTGCCTATTTTGTTTTCTCAGCCATTAGAGCAAGTGGGTTTCGGTTAGTGTAGAACCAGCTCCCGCGACGACAGGTGATTCTGTGAAGCGTGGTGCTCCAGAGACCCCACTCGAGAACAGCCCTCCCTTCATTTCTCCAGGTCTGAGTTCATACTTCCTTCTGTTGTTGGGGAGCAAGGTTTTTTATTAAGGTGCTGGGGTTTGGGGTGCAACCCAATTTCACTGAAAACAGCAGCAGTACATTTTTGGGGGGCCTGTTTATTTCCTGGTACATAGCTCTTTCATTTCTCCACCTATCAATAATGGCTTATATAAAAATACAGCCAAGTTATGGCCATGGTGATGAGTTAAAGCGCATGCTGGCCATGACTGACTTCCTCTTCAATCACAAGATGAGGCTTGAGGTTTCCTTTATTTTAATAAATTACATAGCTGTCCTTCCCACCCTCGCCCTCCAGGCCCGACTTGCTGCTTTGTACTTACTTAGTGGAGTTCATTGTTTGTGAGCCTGACCCCACAGACTGTTCAAGTTGTGCTTCTGTCTGGATCCGAGATCTTTGAGTGTTAGAAATCAAAGAACTCCAGCCCTCTCTCTCCACCTCCCCCTTTGACACCCCCAAGTGAAAGGCCGGTGACATTGTCACCCAGCATGCGGAGAGCGCTGTTGGTGTAAAATCCTCAGAGTCGTGGGCAAACCGTGTGGGTTTTTATTCTAAGTCTGTAAGGACAGACTCCTGTTCGGAATCTCATTCTCTAAGGACAGATTCTGCCTTGGCGAAAAAGAAAGCAAAATTCTGTGCTTTTTCCCTCCAGCTTGCCGCCCCATGACTACATCCTTAGAGACGACTAGGCCACCATCTTGTAACGTAAAATAATTTAACGTCGCACCTCTTATGTGTTCACTGTTAACTTCACACGGAACCCATGCATACATTTTTATTTGAAAGTTTGAATGGAACCTCTCCGATTGCCCAGGAAGAGAAAACTGGAGCACAATTCTCATTCAGATCCTGGTTCACAAGGGGGTCGCCGGAGCCCCAGGAATCTCAGGCTTCAGTCTCCCCCTCTACCGATACACAGAGGCTGCCTTCTGCCTTAACTTTCCAGTTCAGTTCCAGAAGCCAAGATCTTACCCGTGTGGGTTTGTTCGAGTTAGTGGGGAACTGGTGGAGTTTGTCAGACAACGGCTCCATGTTTTGCTGGAGGGCAGAGTGGGGAGGAAAGCCACGGTGTGCCCTCCAGCAACTGCTGTGGCACTGTGTGTGCCTGGCCCAGGGCCGCTGCCAGCTGCTTCCGGGGAGGGAGGCTGATCTCTGGTGCGGGGTAAGGGATAGGTGAGATCACAGTGCCTCCCTGACTTTCTGAGACCCCGTTCTAGTGACCCCCTTTCATCTGGGCAGCCCTTCTTTGGGCTGGAAGTGGGAGGGGCTACTGTGTGACCTCAGGCCCTGCTCTGTGTATTCATGTTGGACAAGGCACTGGGTGGTTGTTTGTCCTTTGCAGCAGACAGCTGAATGTGTGTGAAAGCCTCGGGTGCTGGGAATCCATTATCCAGGGCTTTTAGGGTCGCCAGGCCTGCTCTTTTTACAGCGGCAGCTACGTGAGCAACGCAGTCGTATTGTCCGGTGTGTTTCCTTGAACTCCTAGGCCTGGAATGTGATGCTTTGTGAAAAATAAATGCAGGAATTTAGCACGTTAGTTCCCCTGGAAGACGGACAGTTGTATTGCCAAAATGAAGGCTTTTAGGTTATGTGCTGAAGACCCACTTCTGTCAGTTTTTCTGAGCAAGGAGCGTGTGTGTGTGTGTGTGTGTGTGTGTGTGTGTGTGTGATGTATACATGGTGTGTATGTGCTTGATGCATGTGTGTCCTGTGGCATGCGTGTGTGGCAGAAATGCATGTGTTGCATACTGTGTGTGTGAAGTATGTCATGTGTGGCATATATATGTATGGTGTGCATGTGTGTAGTATGTGCCTGCTGTGATGCCCGACCTCCTAACATCCCATACAGCTTCGTTCTGTTGGCTTCTCTCCTGGGGATCTTGTTCAAGGGGACCCTACTCAGGGTCCTGCTGCCTCTTGGTGCCAGGGTGAGCCTTTGTGTCCATGTGTTCAGGTCAGCCGAGGCGACTGACATCACATGTGGTGTCAGCCTGTCCCTGTCCCTTGCCCTCTGACCTCCAGGACAGTCTGTGGCCAGCACCTGGCCTGGGTAAAATGGAGGCGACCTGGCTTCTGTGCCTGCTGTAGGGTCTCTGTGTGTAGCCATTGTGGCCTGTTAGGATGCCTGACAGAGGGCTATGCTGTGAGGTCGCCTGCAGGAGAGGTGTGTGAACACGCAGAAGACATCATCAGGTGCTGGACATGTCACTTAGAGGAAGGACTTCAAGGAACTTGTGACTTGGTCACCTATAATTAGCTTGGATGTTGTTCTCCACATCTGGGTGACTGGGTGGGGGTTCCCAATAACATATTAGAAGATTTATTTTCTTCCTAGCAACTCAGTAGGTGAAAGAAAATAGAAGGTGTGTTTTCAGGGCCCTGAGGCAGCTGGGCCTTGCCTCTGGTCAGCGAATGGAGCAGGTGGCCAAGCTAAGGCAAGGCTGACCCGTGAGGTGAGGTGTCAGCCAAGGGGGAGAGGTACCGAGGACTGACTCTCCAGAAGAGTGAAAAGTGGACTGCAGACTGAAGACTCACACCCACAGTGGAAACTTCAGGCCCTTCAGAACCACTCGCATCCGCCCTAAACTGACCCCTGAGATGAAGAAACCCCGACTCCTCTTCTGGTTTGACATTGGCACTAGGCTTCATTCGCCTGATTCTACCCTGTGTGAACAAGTAAGCCGATGTTCAGTCATGGAGTGTTTGCGTGCAAACCACAGTTGGTCCAGGGAACCTGGTGGGAACCTGAGGCTTTGCCCCTGGTCAGAGATATCCCCGGAGGGCTTCCATGCCCTGGCCCTCTCCCGGCCTGAGGGAAGCTTCTGATCTTCTTAGCAGCATTAGTAGAAGTTGCGAGCTCAGCTTTGGGACAGGTTGTTCCCCTGTGTCTTCAGTGAATAAGGGTGACAGATGGCTTGGGTTAGAAGGCTGTAAGTGCCTTCCTCACACTGTTGAGTTTCTGGTCCAGACACTTCTTCTTTCTGAAGGTGGAAGGTTAATGATCCACTTATTTTAGAGCTTCTAGTACATGCCAGGACTGGGCCCCGGGGCCTGGATAGCAGAAGTGAGTCAGTCCTGACATCTAATCAGTCCTGACATCTAATCAGCACATGTCAATACCTCTATGGTGTGGCCACTTTATAACTCTTAACAGCAAAATAGTCTGGCAGGAAGAGGACCGTGCCTCAGGGTGGGACCGCCGTGCCGGGGGTCACGGAGAAACAGGGCTGCGGAGACCCAGGACAGGGTCTCCTCTCCATTGTGTGACTCTGCGGCCTGTGCAGAGACCTCGGGCGGGGCCTGGGACTTTGGGAAACCTGGCTGCTGGCATCCCAGGCCAGAGGAGGCCGGCAGAGGGCACCGAGACAGGGCCACTTGGGTGTGCGTGCTGAGTTGGCCGTGGGCACCCAGCTCCTGCAGACCTCCGAGCCAGTGAGGCAGATGGCCTGCCCCAGGTCTGACGCCTGCCCGCGTCACCCAACAGTGTGTGGCAGAGCCGGGAGGGACTTAACTCCCAGTAGGAGTCGAGAGCAGGTCAGTAACCACTGCCCCGGGGAGGGGAGAGTCCTCCTGTTTCCACCTTTAGAACTTGGCTGGAGCTGCTGGGTCTGCTCTGTCTCCCCCCTTGTGAGTGATGACTTAGACCAGGCACTACAGACTGGCAGTGCTTTTTCAATTCAGAAACCCCAAATTGTTTGTAGGTGCTGAGGAAGTCATATTGGGCAATGAAAGGCTTCTCCCTTCCCCCGAGAAAAGAAACAGAACTCTGTCTTTCTAAGTGCAAAGATTTCAGAATCTGTTTCATTTTTCACTCTGGGTTTTTAACCAGCACACCTGCAGAAACCCAGCTATTTTTTCACTATTAACAAAAAATGTTTTAAAAAAGGAGCCATTCCTTTGCTGGGCTGGTGCTACAACGTATTTTAATTTTGAAATGATGTCTAAGGTTAAGTAGAAAAA